AACCCAAGGATCCTTCCTTATTTCCTTCCTTCCTTCCTTCCTTCCTTCCTTCCTTCCTTCCTTCCTCCCTCCCTCCCTCCCTCCCTCCCTCCCTTCCTTCCTTCCTTCCTTGCTTCCTTCCTTTTTTGCACTGTGATTTACAATTGCGTTAATGATAGAGTATCAGGCTTACAGTGTTCCAATCCACATCCACACACTCATGTCGGCATCCTTCCACCAATGTCTTGAGGCCCCATCCCACTCTCAGCTAGCCTCCTTAGCAAACTCATTACATTTGTTTTTAATTATTACAGGCTGGAGAAATAGTGCAGTGGGTAAGGTACTTGTCTCGCACACTGCTTACTCAGGTTCAACCCCTGGTACCTAATGTGGTTCCCTGATCACCATCAGGAGTGATTCCTGAGCACAGAGCCAGGAGTAAGCTGGCTCTGAGCAATGCTGGGTGTGTTTGATAAACCCAAATAAATAAAAATTAACCATTAGAGGCTGGAGCGATAGCACAGCGGTAGGGCGTTCGCCTTACAAGCGGCCAACATGGCAGACCCGAGTTCGATTCCTTCGCCCCTCTCGGAGAGCCCGGCAAGCTACCGAGAGTATTCGATATGCCAGACACAGTAACAACAAAGTCTCCAATGGAGACGTTACTGGGCCCGCTCCAGCAAATCGACGATCAACGGGAGGGCCTTTACCATTAGAGTGTCTAAGATCCTTATCAATACCTATTTGTTGCCTCAGTTGTTCGTATCATTTTTACCCCATTCTCGCCTTTCTGGGCAGGACTGCAGAAAATCCAGTGATTTGAGATAAAAATTTAACATCTTATTTCTGTCCGTTTGTAATTTATTGAGGGGAAAAGTTTCTCTTAGGAAATAGTAGTATCTATCATGGATGTCAGTTCTGTAACTCTTGGCTCTATCTCCAACATGTATATGTGTAGGATAACATTGGTTTGTCCTTTCCGCCTTGCCAAAGCGAGCTTAGGTTTATTGGGTTACTCTCATCACAGAGCTCCCATTCCTCTGTGTTTATTTGTAACTTCTTTTTTTTGTGCTCTGTTGACTTGTAAATATTGTTCTTCCTCTTCTCCTTAAGTCCTTTGCATAGTTAATTCAGAACAATATCCTTTTTGTATAGGTTCAAGAAGACAGTAGATGCTATGCTTTTGTAAAGTGGGAATTAATTGACTCTCAATGATATTTACCTCCTGGGCATCTATTCTCTCGACTTAAACCTCAGTTGCCCTTTCTTCCTAGCAACCCAAAAGCAGGGTCCCGACGAGGGACTAGATGAACCCAGGGCAAGCGGTGAGCTATGTGCTACCCTGGCATCGAAATGGGCCTGGTCAAAGTGCCATAATGCTTAACTGTAAGTTAAGAGCTCGGTCATGGACAAATGCTGTCATGATCCAAAAAGCAATAACTGGATTTGGACCCTGCTAGGGTTAGGAAAGATTAATCTGGTCGGTCTGAGCACTGTAGCCTGAGTCTTTGGCGAGATGTTCCCAGGAAAGCCACCCGACAAGCCTCAATGTATCTCTTACTGTGTCAATACAAAATAATTAATATTAGGAAGTAGAATTAAGATGTTAATTAAGATGCTAATTAAGTTATTGGACTAAGGAGAAGAGAAAGATGCCTAGGTGGTGTTTTCACCCTTGAGCCTGATGGGCAGTCAGGGAGGGCTTTCTTATGTTGACTTTGCTACCTAACTGGGACTGGGTGTAGCAGGAGTAGGAGAGAGATGAGAGTGTTGGGAGAGATGAGAGAGAGCAGGGTAGCAAGATGGAGTGCGGAGAGACTAGCAAGGGGGACAGAGGGAGGAGAATGTAGAAGGATACAGGAGCAGGCACGTGGAGAGAGAGAAAGCCCAGGCTGTGAGATGGAGCGTGGAGAGATGAGCGGGAGAGACAGGAGGAGATGGGAATGAGGGGCAGTGTGAGACTAGAATGGGGAGCTCAGAGAGACTGGAACAGGTCCGTGGGGAGAATGGAATAAACGGCAACTGGCAACTGATCAATCACCCGGGTTGGCCCTCATTTCCTCCACTGTCTGCCCCATGGCAAGGGCTGCCCTGACTGGGGGAGTGGCCTAGGCCCTCCGAACCTGGGCATGTGTGAGGCGGAGAGCCTCTGGGGCCTTCCCTGGGTGCCCTAGGAGATTAAACAGCTATGTTCATTCAGACTATGCCTTTAATTAAGCCCCCACACACAGTCTTGACATAGTGGATATGACCTGACAAGGAGGAGCACACAAGGAAACATTTATCAGGGAGCTGGTGTTAAAAATGGGGGATGAATAGCCAGAATCTGGAAACAATCCGAGTGCCCAAGAACAGACAAATGGCACATCTACACAATGGAATACTATACAGCTGTTAGGAAAAATGAAGTCATGAAATTTGCCTATAAGTGGATGGACATGGAGATTATCATACTGAATGAAATGAGTCAGAAGAAAAGGGACAGATATAGAATGACTACATTCATTTATGGTGAATATATATATACATATATATATATAGTAGAAGACTAATAACCATGGCCAGGGAAAACGGGTTAGGAAGACTGGTCAGTGGCTGGAACTAACCACAAGTGTGGGGGGCTGAGGGTAGGTAAGAGAGAAGAGACTAGTATGACAATAATAGCTGGGAATGATCACGCTGGACAAGATCTAAGGATTAAAAGTAGGTAAATGGATATTCTTGATAACCTTTCAATATCAATATTGAAAACCACAATGCTGAGCGAGAGAGAGAGAGAGAGAGAGAGAGAGAGAGAGAGAGAGAGAGAAGAAAAGGGACTACCATAGAGGCAGGCAGGGGTTGGGGAGAAGGGGTGATGGGAGGGAATCTGGGGACACTGGTGCTGGGAAATGTACACTGGTGGAGGGATGGGTGTATGTATGACCGAAATCCAATCACAAGCAGTTTTGTAAAGGTCTATCTCACAGTGATTCATTTAAAAAATACATAAAAAAGGGTGGGGATGAAGGGAGTAGAATATATCAGGAAGTGAGAGGTATTATAATGCAAATGAAGAAAACAGTAAGCAGGGAAATACCTCAAGAGAAGGAGGAAAGTCTCCTTTGAGGAAGTAATTCATCAGCCTGGCAGAAAACAAAAGGTAGGTGTCACGTGTGAGATCATTTGGAGAGGAGCCTTCCAGGCAGAGAACTGGAACAGAACCTCGGGTTGTAAGATTCCAGGCCTGCAGGAGGGCTGGGATTTATGGAGAGTGAACAGAGTCAGATCCTGTCCTGGCATTGAGATAAGGTAAAGATTCTGGATTTTTTTTTTTTTTTTTTACTTTAAGGGCAGCTACTGGTGGGGGTGGGGGAGTGGCTGATTAAAGAGAATGATATCTGGTTTTAATTTATGCTAATCTCTCTGATAATAAATTATGAGATTATCATCAAGTGGCAGGTGAGTCTCCTGAGAGGAAACCAGGGAGAAGTTTTGGGGGAAGTTAGTGTTGTTTTGGCTGTATCTGATTGTGATGACCCCCCTGGACAAGTGTTAGAGAGGAAGTCAAGAGGAAGCAAGCAAGGAGATTTATCTGGGAATAGTCTACACCCCTAATGATGGTATTTAAGGCCTTGAATTGACTCCAAAGTCTCACAGTCAATTGCTGTTCTTATGTGCACTCCACCCTTCCCACACTCCTGACTCTTCTGAACAGATTACTGTCATTGAAGGTGCTTTCAGCCTTACAGTATGAAGGACAGGGGGTGAAGAGTAGAAGGACAACATTTGCTGGGTCTGTGGTAACAGCAAGAGCTGCTTCTCTGTTCTGTAGAGATTTTCCTTGGTATCTCACCTAATAAAGCTAAAAACTGAGGTTACATGATCATGCGATTTTAAAGACACAGTCTATATTCACAGTGTGTTCTTTATAAAATATAAGTTAATCACCAATTTACTTGTCATTGTCACATAAATTTTGTAAGCTAATATCTGTTACACAAAACAAACTTTTCAGTATATTTTTCCTAGTTTCACATGACTCCTGTCTACTTTATTGAATACAAGAGACAAAACTATGAAAATGTCTTTACTTGTGTGTGCTACTCCAATAATAGGTTTGTTGTTTAGTTTTATTGGAACATTGCATTGGATAATTTAGATATTTACCTGTTTCATCAGTTGTATCCTTACAAATTTTATCCTTATATGAAAATAATAGAAGATTAAGGCCAGAAATATAGCAAAGAAATTGATGTAATTGCATTGCATGCAACTGACCCCAGTTCAGTGTGGAAGTAACCCCTGAGCACTGCTGGGTGTGACTCCAACTCCCCCTCAAATAATAATTGAAGATTAATTTTCAATTACTCTATGCCTTGAAACCCTTTCCCATTATAATGTCAAGCCCCATTATATTTGCTATTAGTTTTATGACTGAATGATTTATTTATTATATTTTTCTGGCTAAGAAAAATATCAGAGGAAACTTACTGTATGATAGAGGACATAGTACAGTTTTCTTATTTGCCACCTCAAAAGAATTTGGAGTTTAAAATCATGAAATTTAACACTAAGTGAATGGAACTGGAGAGTATGATGCTGAATGAAGCCAGTCAGAAAAGATGGAGAGACAGATACAGAATGATCTCTTTCATATGTGGAATAATATATATATATATACACACACACATATATATACACACACACATATATACACACACACATACACACACACATGCATGCATGCGCACACACATACATACACTAAGGGAGCAACAAATGGTCAAAAGCAACAGAACCTGAGTGAGTCTACAGAACTGAGCTTTCCAAGGACAAAGGGAGTGGAGGTGGACAGAAAGGGACACTGAGACCCTGCTGGAGGGCAGCAGACACTCTGGTGGAGGGTGTGGCATTGAACGTTGTATGCATAAAACCCTATCACTAATACTATTGTTTAACTCGTGGTGCCTCAAACATTTTTTTTTAACATTTGATTGAACTCTTATCTATCTTGAATTATCTTGCTCATTGCAGATAAGCTCTTCAACTGTCTACATGGGGAGTTTAAGGTCCTAATCAGGAATACAAGAGAATTCACACCAGCCAGAGCCTAGAAAGATGGTGTCACAGTGCACTGGCCAGCAGGAGTCTCCTGTGGACTCCTGGAAAGGGTTCAGCAATGACTCTGGTGACGTTGATGGCTTCTCCAGCCTCCTGAACTTTTACCAGCTCTGTAACCAATCAGACGTCAAGCTTAGTAAGCATAAAGCCGCCTGGATTAACCCTGAGTACGCACAGCAAGAGCTGACAGATTCGCCCGCTCTGGTGCCAGCAGAAACAAACCGAAGAAGCTCCTTTGTGGGGGACACCATAATTCCTCTGTTCCCAGTGGGAAATACCAGTACAGAGGCATCAATTTCAAAGGACAATGTGAATTCCACAGACAGTCCCTTGGTGATTGGTACAGGTGAAAATTGCAGTGAGATCTCTTTGATGTTAATGAAGGAGCGACTTGAACTTCCACCACACAGTTCGAAGATGCCTGTGTCCAAGATTTTGTCCTCCTCCCCGCATCCTAAGATGAGAAGTACTTTCCACCAGTTGTCCCACTGGACAGCTTCTCCAGATACAGGTAACTTTCACTGGGGTTCACCTCCATACCTGTATGCCCACAGGTTGTCTTTACTGTCTTCCTCATAAGAAAAACAAATAAGTGTTCATGGCTTTCCACTTGGACCAAAAGCCAATACATTTGCACATTTAGTATTGTGCTCAACTCAGTCACTTGGACAATCACAGCCAGTGAAATGATATACTTCCTTTCTCCTTAGACTCGGGGAAATATCTTCTGGACTCAGTTTTGTTGCCATCAGTGCCACCTGCCAGCTGGTGTTTACTGTCAAATCCTCCAGGTTTTCCCTTTTGTCTCCAAGGAGAGACACTTAGTGCCTTGATTTCCTCTGGGAGGAGGAAATCAAGGGAGGCTTTGCCCAGGTGTTCCAGGCCCCTCCTTCACATCAGGACTGATGCAGGAGGCGAACTCACCTCTGCTGTGTATATATGTACAGAGTGTGACTAGAAAACAGTGAAGTTTAAAAATAGTAACTGTGATAACCCCCTCCCCCTGAAAAGACTACATAAACTTAAAAAAAAAACAAGGATTCTTGTGACTGTGTGGTAGTGTCCAATCCACCCCAAATGCCATGCAAGAGTCAATAAATTATTATTCTAACTTGAGGCATGCTTATTTTATTTGTAAATATCCATCATGTTTTATCCATGTTTTATGTTAATTTATATTTTTTAGGTTAGAATGCTCATTTAAATAGTCATTGAATTTCTAAAATTTTGCTTCAGAAGCATTTCTTTAAGTTGTAAATGCATGTGGGGGAGGGGCATGGTGATTAATTCCATGGGATTAAGAAAAAAAAATGTCCTGGCTGTAGATATAGCTCGACAGTGGAACACAGCTTGCCATGAGCCTCACAACATGCAACCACATGCATGCATATGCACATACATGTGCAGAGTGGTCAGCTTGTTTTTTTGTTGGTGTGGGGGCGACAATGAGGAGAGCAGACAATTGCCAGTACAACGAACTTTCCCTTTCTTTATGTCCTAGATGTTCTTTTGAGAAGGGAAAAAATCACCTAAGCCTGGAGACATTTCCTGAGCTGTAAGGAATAGCACCCAGTTTCTGGTTCCCATGCGTGAGCTGTATACTCACTGACACATTTACACGCTTTACTTCCACCTCCTACTTGATAAAGACCCCAATGGAGGGGATGAGGACTCTTCACTGCAGCTGTATGGCTGGTGCCTGGTTTCTGGGATGAGATCTACTCTGTCTGACTTTTTCCTTTTTGGCAATGCGGAAACTGCCTTCTGAAGCTAAGGATTGCATTTCCCGTCAGTCTCTGGAAGATAAGATGAGGGACTGAAGTGAGGGACCCTGCTTCCTCTCTCCGAGTCACTCCTGAGTATTGCAGGATCAGCATGATTTGGGGATCCCTTTCTTTGAAAGTCGAGACATTGCAGTTCTTTGGGCTCTGACGGAAAGATTCTGCCCTTACTGCTTCAAGAAATCACATAACCAGAAATCCCTTCTGTCTGAGGGTGTTGGTTGCCAGTCATGAAGTGACTTAAGGGTGTAGAGTGGCTGAGTCAGCTGGATAGACTCATTGCTGTTTCTTCTTATTACTGGAGCAAGGTCATTTTAAAGAAGCAATACTTGCATTCAAACAGATTTCATTTCTGGAAGAAAAAGTTTGGAATCAGCTATAGTGACTAGGAGAAGAGATCCCATAATTTTTCTGGCCCGGCTTCTTGATGGTTCCTACTTATTCCTTTTTTGCAGTATTACTTGCAAAGTCAGTATTACTTTCATGTTTCTTTTATGATCCTTCTCGTTCCAAACTTTGCTCTAATAGTCTCTTCTGTTTCAGTGGTTCTCCCCTGCCTGCTCTGAGATTTCCTCTAGGTTACTCCAGCAGTCTCACAGAACATGGTCATCATTAAGCTAGCAGCTGCAAGATCTGTAAGAACTGCAACCAGAATAGTCTTTACTTTTTCTATCATTTATTCTAGAATAGTGTTAGAGTCTTTTTTGTTTGTGTGTGTACAGGGAGAGGGGGAGGGACAGGGGTGTTGCAATATTTAAAAGCCGCACAAAGCCACACCTGAGAATTGTTTCTCTTCTCAGATAATCTTTGAACTTTTGTTTTCTCCATGGTTAACAACATGCTGTGTTGGCAGGTGCTGTTCAAGTCAGGAGAAGAAATACTTCTTTGAATTCCTCCGCACTGGATGCATTTGTACTTCCTGTTGATACAGAAAAGGTGAACATCTCTCTTTTTTTTCCTTATAAAACCAGAGATCCCTTAGATGATAATTTTTTGACTTAAATCAGGAAAGTTCATTTGAGGGGGCGTGGTGAATCCTTTTCATTCCAGTGTTTGGGAAGAAAACAAGACAGCCAGACCCCATGCTCCAATGACGGGTTTCCATAATTCATGAGTGATGTCTGCTCTGCTAAGGGGCTACTACATACTCTTGGGATTTATGTCACAGAAAAAGAGCTTGAACCATCTGTTGCTTATGGAGGGCTGTGGCTTATGTCTCTGCAAGATATGGGCCATTAATTGCATCATAACCTGTGCTAACTTAATTAAGTGAATATTTAAGTGAATACTTAACTAACTCCACTTAAATATCCAACTTCTTTATCTAGAATACCCCCAATAAAAACAAATGTTAATTATGCTGGTCTACCCTTTAACCCCTGATTCTTCTTTTCTGGCAGGAAAATGCTCATTTTTATGTTGCAGATATGATTATATCCACAATGGAGAAGATAAAATATAACATGCAGAGTCAATGGCATACAGAGAACTGGAAACTGGAGGAAACCAGTGGGTTACTTAAGAATGATCAGGCTGACTCAGAAGTGACTTTTTCTACCAATATAAATCAAGACTCAGGGTCTTCTGCTTCTTCAGACAGTGGCTATGAAGGCAAGTGGGCAAATATGAAAACTTTATGTGATGGTCTTATCGCCTGTCAAATTTCCATGTCCTAAACTTGACAATCTATATCTATATCATCTCACCAGCTTCCTTCCTTCTTTCCTTCCTTCCTTCCTTCTTTCCTTCCTTCCTTCCTTCCTTCCTTCCTTCCTTCCTTCCTTCCTTCCTTTTTTTTCATGTATTCGTTTATGTTTATGTTCACTTATTGGTTAGAATATGTTTATGGTCACTTGATCACTTGAATACTAATCAATTTGCTCAAGTGGGCGCTAGTAACATCTCCATTAATCCCTGTTGCATGCTAGTGTAGCCCAGTGGCGTCTGCTCACTCCAGGAATATGAAGAGCCCCAAACCAATTGTTCAGGGTCTTGATGAAGAAGTCTGACCATCTCGTAGGTGGGCGGCCATGCAATCTTTTGATGTCCCGTGGAAGCCAGTTGGTAACGGCTCTAGTCCAGCAGTCATCTCCAAATCGCATTACATGTCCAGTCCATCTGATTTTCAACGCCTTGGCAAATGAGACAGCATCCCTTGATTCTTGATCGTCAATGGAGGTTGGAACTCCAGATTCTTTCTCTCACTTGAGTGAAGCATCACACTCCAAGCATAGCTCTTTCAATTCCTCTTTTGGAGACCTGAATAGCATTCTCATCCTGTTTTTGTAGGGCCCCGGTCTCTGAGGCTTATGTTAATGCAGGAAGAACAGTGGAATTGAAGAGATGTGCCCAGAGCTGGAGGTTCTTCATCCTCTTAGCTATTTCTTCGATGCTCTTGAAGGTGTTCCAAGCTGCTCTCTTCCTCCTGTGCAGCTCAGGTGCCAGGTCATTTGTCATGTTGACTTCTCAACCTAGGTACACATAACTGTTGCATTCGGAGATGTTCGTTCCTTTGAGAGCAAATGGATCGTCAGGAATGAGACCATTTCTCATAAACATTGTCTTCATGAGATTCAACTATAGTCCGATCTTTCCACACTCAATCAAAGACGGTCAGCATTTATGCTGCTTGGCTAATGTTCGGTGTTATTAGAACGATGTCATCAGCGAAGTGGAGGTGGTGTAGTTGCCGACCGTCTATCTTTACTCCCATTCCTTCCCATTCCAGTCATCGCATGACATTCTCAAGGTTGGCACTGAAGCGTTTTGGTGAAATGGTATCACCCTGCTAAACCCCTCTCTCAACATGGATGATCACTTCCTTGTAGAATGGTGAGATCCTGGTAGTGAATCTGTAATACAGCTCGTGGAAGATCCTGATGTATTGAGTGTGAAAGCCCTGTTTGGCTAGGGCTTCAATGACCACTTCCGTCTCAACACAATCAAAGGCCTTCTTTAAATCAATGAACATTAGACAGAGCGGCATCTTGAACTCCCGAGAAACCTCAGTGATCTGGTTATTGTGTGGATATAGTAGATTGTGCTGAATTCTTTTCAGAACCCGGTTTGCTCGCATGGTTGTCCTTCATCTAGTGTTCTGCCAATCCTATTCAGGATGACTCGGATGAACAGCTTGTAGACCACAGACAACATGCAGATCAGGTGATAGTTGCCAATGTTGTGGATGTCTCTCTTGTTGTACAGTAGTACACAGTCCTGCTGGTTTTCTATTGCGATGGAAACTTGCATTCAGACAGGTGGTGTGTGAAGATCCGATCCAGTGTATTGATGAGTACTGATGGTAGGTTCTTCAGGTGTTCGGGTCTGACCTTGTCTGAGCCAGGTGCTGTTCGCTTCTTTACCGACGAAATTGCATGTTGGATTTTGGAAGGTTTATGGTATTGATGTACGAAATTACTGTACCCCTTTCCCTCCACCAAATTGCCTGAGACTCTCACTACTCTTCCTTTGTTACCTCTAGTCTGATCTTTCCCCCATCCCCACTGCTAGGTACACAGTTTTGTATTCCAAGACCAATTGTCATTTTCAATACTATTTCCTGTTTTGTCTTTCTATATTCTGCAGTGAGATCATCTAATATTTGTCCATCTCCCCTGACATTTTTACATAGTTTTTATATTTATTTTATGCCTACTTTATTCCTGAGCCATGAATTTTTGCTTCTTTAGTTCCTTTGACTAATTTAGTCTAACTTGATACTATCTAGTTCTATCCACATTGTAGTGAGCTGTATGATTTCATCTTTATTTACAGCTGCATAGAACTCCTTTGTGTCTATAAGTCCGTTGCTTTATCTTTTCATCTGTGATTGAACATATGAGTTGTTCTTGTATCCTGGCTGTTTCACTAAGTTCTGCAATGGATATAGGGAAGCAGATAGCTTTTATAATTAATGTATTTGTTGTTTTGGGTATAGATATCAAGAAGTGGACTTGCTAGGCAAAATCAAAGTGTATCAAATAGAAAAAAAATTATTCTTACTTTTTTTTTTTTGGTAAACAATTTCCATAATGCTTTCCATAGAGGCTGAGCCAAAGGACATTCCCAGCAACAATGAATGACACTTCTTTTTTTTCCACATCCTTGCCAACACTGGTTGTTGCCAGTCTTTTTGCACTGTTGTTGCCAGTCTTTTTACTAGTGGGTCATTCCCACTGGTTAGAGAAGATTACCTCATTGTTATTTTGATTTGCATTTATTTCCCTGATAGGTAAAGGTAAAAGGTAAAGGCCCTCCCGTTGATCGTCGATTTGCTCGAGCGGGCCCAGTAACGTCTCCATTGGAGACTTTGTTGTTACTGTGTCTGGCATATCGAATACTCTCGGTAGCTTGCCGGGCTCTCCGAGAGGGGCAGAGGAATCGAACTCGGGTCGGCCATGTTGGCCGCTTGTAAGGCGAACGCCCTACCCGCTGTGCTATCGCTCCGGCCAAATTTCCCTGATGATAAATAAGAATGGACACATAATGACCGTCTGTATGTCTTATTCAAAGAAGTGTCTTTTCATTTCCTATCCCCATTTTTTAGGGGTTTTGTTGACTCTTGTTTTTGAGCTTTGTGAATGATCAAACTAAAATTCTCTTAGAATCTGCATTCCTCAATTTAGTTGAGTGCTATAGATTGTGCGTGCTCTCTCTCTCACTCTCTCTTTCTCTTGCTTTCTTTCTCCCCTTTTTCTCTTTCTGTCCTTTCTTTTCCTATTTTCTTTCTTTCTTTCTTTCTTTCTTTCTTTCTTTCTTTCTTTCTTTCTTTCTCTTTCTTGACCCCCATACTTTCCTTTTCTAGGTTGTGCTGCATTACAGATTAGCCCCATGGTTGAATCATCTACTCCGTATGAGGCTATAAAAGAGGATTGCAAATGTGACTTCAATAAATTTATTATTCCAGGTAAGATTTGGAAGGTCTGAGTCAGACCCTCTCTTGCCACCTCATGCAATACTATGATATAGTGCATTTGTGGTCATTTGGGTCTGGAGTCATAATACTGAGGTTAAGATACTGATCTCGCATGCAGTTAACCTCTGAAGTGACCAGGTAATCCCCAGCATCAGAGGGTCAGAGCAGTACCACATTGTTGGGCCCTTGCATTGAATTTCTAGGAGGAACACCACTTAGGAGACCCCCAAAAACGAAGACCAAAGTATGTCTCTGATATTTAAAAAAAATAAGACATTATTCTCTTTCATATATCTTGACAGCTAATCTCATCTCAGCTGTAGGACTGAATGTAAAAGCAGATGTTCCATCTGGTCTCTCAGTTAAACGTTGGTGAAATTTTAGATGAGGTTGTTTTGAGATTTCACTTTGGCTGATTAGCTGTTATCTCATAAGAGGGGTCTCAAACCTTAGAGGTTCTAAAGAATTGCTTCTTTCTGAGATGCAGGAAGCTGTTTTTATGTCCTGCCTTTAAAATGAACTGTGGTGAATCAAGAAAGACTGAGAGATCTCCCTGTTCTTTTATCTTCCAGCAGAACTTGAAAAGTTTGGCAGTGCCACCGAAACCTATAGCTGTCCTAATAGCTCCTCTCAGAGGTATGTGTTTCACATGCACCAGCACTCACCACTCCCATCACCCTCCCCCTGCCTGCTCTCAGAACTAGGACCAGACAGCTGGGACCAAGTCCAACCCAGTGTAATGACATCATCCCAAACATTTATCATCCCAAATATTTCTTTAGTGTTTATGTAGTATTTTCAAAACATTGGTATACATTCTCCTTTAATCCTCACGGATGCTGGGCAAGGTTTTTAAAAACCCCATTTCATAGATGAGAGACTGAGGTTCATACAGTCTGAGCCACGGGACACTGTGCTCTTGAATGTCAGAAGTTCTAACTGGGGAATCCTGTGCTTTTTCACTCTATCATCCAGTCCTGGGCCTTCAGTAAATTAAAGCTGCTGTTGGGCAAAAGAATCATGTTGAGTGAGATAACCAGTGGGTGGCTAATGTAACTCACCTCTTACCTTACACTTCTTGTGAGTTTGGGGAATGGGACAAGTAGTTGAAATCCCGAAGCAGTCCCTTGCCGTCCTTCTCATGAACAGAGTTTTTCTTCTTTTTCACTTATATTTCAGTGTCATCTCTGCATCAAACTTCAATTCTCCTGAGCGAATAGCCAAAGAGCTGTACCAAGTATTCCGCAAGTGCTGCATGTTGGCAGCAGTTAATTATCAGCTGCCGGCTGCCCTGAATGCACCTGACTCCACAGTAAGCATCAAAATACACCGGCCTTGCATTGAAAGTGCCTAAGTTCTTATTTTGCCTTTCAGTGCCAGTATTTATGTGTTTCCTTGTATGGTTTCTGGGTGATATGAGATTCAATATGAAGGACACAACTGCTATGGAGTGCTACCCATTGCTCCAGGAATTGTGCTCATCAATTCAAGTCTTCATCTTCAGAGCCATTCTGTTGAACTGTTCTTTTCCATGTTTATTCTCGACTCTCTTAGGCTGGAGCGATAACACAGTGGTAGGGCATTTGTCTTATAAGCGGCCAACAGGGCCAACCCGAGTTCGATTCCTCCACCCCTCTCGGAGAGCCCGGCAAGCTACCGAGAGTATCTCGCTCGCACGGCAGAGCCTGGCAAGCTACCCGTGACGTATTCGATATGCCAAACACAGTAACAACAAGTCTCATGATGGAGATGTTACTGGGCCCGCTCGAGCAAATCGATAACAACGGGAGGACCGTGACCGTGACCATGATTCTCGACTCTCAGCGGGGCTGGCCAGTGGCTGGGCAGGAGTTAGGACCCAGGCAGCTTGATTTGGACGTCCAAGCTGGTATTCTGCCCTCTGACCATGCAAAGGCACCTGGGAGATGCACAGAACTTTGCAGCCAAGGCTAATAAAATATGAGTATGAAAGGCACTCTCTGAGAGTGTGGGGAAGATGATTTGAGACCAGAGATCTCTCAAAACTTGAGCCAAGCGTGAGGCCGGGTGGAGATAGGTGGAAGGAGTATCTTGGCCAAGAGTAGCTGGAGTGAAAGCGGCAGGGAGGTGCCTGGGGTGTTCGTGGAGCAGAGTGATTTGCTGCCACTGGAGAGCACAGGTTTGTGTGGATCTGTGGAGTGAGGTCAGCCTTACTGGGAAATAAGGGTTAGGTGGTCGGAGGCAGATATTGGAGGACACCAATTGGTGGAGGAGTTTGCATTTTAAATGGTAATAAGGAAGGTGACTTCTGCTTCACAATGATAGGATAGGGCGATAGCATAGCAGGTAGGGTGTTTGCCTTACAAGCGGCCAACATGGCTGACCCGAGTTCGATTCCTCCACAGCTCTCGGAGCCCGGCAAGTTACTGAGAGTATCTCGCCGCACGGTAAAGCCTGGCAAGCTCCCCGTGGTGTATTCAATATGCCAAACACAGTAATAATTGTCACAATGAAGACGTTACTGGGCCCACTCGAGCAAATCGATAAACAATAGGAGGACAGTGACAAGGAAGATGAATGACTCAGGGCAGAAGGATCACTGAAAATTTAGAAAAAATGAATGTTCTTAAAAGAGTCTTAAAAGAGTTTAACAAAAATTAAAAAAAAATGTAAATGATGGAGAATGGGCACTGGTAGAGGGATGGGTACTGGATTATTGTATAACTGAAACCCAAGCCCCAAAAATTTGTAAGTCTACAACTGTACCTCATGGTGTTTCACTAATAAAAATTAAAAAAAAAAAGAAAGAAAAAAATTTAACTGGGAGTGGGACATCTGACTGGCACCATGAGAAAGAGCTAGAGCTTCTGCTCTGCACAAAATCTTTCCAGGTCAGGGACCAGAGAGACCGTACAGCGGTTAGGGCACTTGCATTTGCACACAGCTGACCCAAGTTTGATCCCCAGCATCCTGTATGGTCCCCCATGCGCCGCCAGGAGTAATTCTTGAGTGCAGAGGCAGAAGTAATCCCCAGCATGGCCAGGTGTGACCCCAAAACAAAAATAAATAAATAAATCTTTCCAGGTCACGAAGTCTAACTTATAGTAGTGTGAGGTCTGGAAGCAAATAAACTAATTGAAAACACTAAGAAAAGTGCCCTCAGCTGGGAGTGGTCTTAAGTGGTTTTCAGTTTAAAGTTTAAAGCAGTTTTAATTGTTTCTGATTCATCCTGATACTGGAAGCACATTGAGTGTTCTGCTGTTTTCAGTTCCTGAAATAAACTTGTTTAAGTTGTTCCTAAATCTGCTTCCTTGTCACGCAGGTTGTAAACAAGGAGTTTGTGCAAAAAGACTTTGAATTCAGTGCTGAGGTGGTACAGGAAACTAAATTCAAGTCGAGGATGAGAGAGACAGAAGACTGGCTGCCACCTAGATTTCAAATCATATTTAATGTTCATCCGCCACTCAAGTAAGTTGCAGTTGCTGATTTGGCTTCTGGTTGTTGCTTGGGTCTTAGATCCTGTTAACACAAGCTCCTACCTGCCCCCTCTGTGGAAGTAGGAGGAATCAAATGACGCACTATGGACCCTGGAATATTTGCTTTGCAGGCAGGAGGACCTGAATTTGGTCCTCAGCACTATATGGTCCTTGAGCACTGTCAGGTGTAATCCCTGAGTAATCCAGTACTCCAGTAATCCCTGGAGCTGAGAGCATCCCCTGAGCACCACCACCATCTCAGAGAGAGAGAAAGAGAGAGGGGATGGGGGAGAGAAGAGTGAGATTGGCATTCTATGAACGGTGGCTTACTGTTTTCTTTATTTAGGAGGGACCTTGCATTAGTAGCCCAGGATTTTCTCTGTGCTGGCTGTGGAACTCCGATAGAACCTAGTAAGTATGGAGAATGGCACAACCGCACGGAAAACATGACAAAGCTAGGCAGTGCCTTGGTTTTTGGGGTTTTTTCCTTTTTCCGGGAGATGCCTTTGATGAGGAACTGCTGTAAGACCTCCAGGGTACCACCCAACCCACATTTCCTGAAGAGATCACAGTGACTGACGGGTCTCTAGCTCCTAATTTCCTCCCCACTGGGTACCCAGTGCCGGCCCTGTGACCTTCCTATGACCTTGAAGATGCCAAACTCACCCATGTCAGACAGTTGCATTTGTGGTTTTGTTTACCTGGAATGTCCCCCTTCACCACCCCATATACTTCCTCCTGCTACTTCCATTACTTCCTTCATATCTTCATCAAAAATTATAATGTTACAAAGCCAGAGGAATAGTATAGGGGGTAACGTGGTTGTACCCAGCCAACCTGGGTTTGATCTCCAGCACCATATAGAGTCCTATGGGCACCTCCGTGAGTGATCCCTGAGCACAGAACAAAGAGTGATTCCTGAGCAGAGAAACAGGAATAAGCACTGAGCACCACTGGGTGTAGTCCAACCCCACAACTCCCCACACAAAGTCACTGTGTTAGCGATGGGGATGTGGCTCAAGGTGTGGAACACATTTGTAGCATGTGCAAAGCTCTGGGTTTGGGGTGTTGTTTTGTTTTGTTTTGGATTGGGGACTACGCTTGGCAGTGCTCAGGGCTGACTACTGGCTGTGTGCTCAGGGATCACTCCTGCGGGCCTCAGGGACCAACTGTGGTGCCAGAGATCAAACCCAGGTCACCCACATGCAAGGCAAGTGCTCTACCTGCTGTACTATCTCTGGCCCTGGGTTTTGATCCTTTCCACTGCATGCCCCCTCCTCTGGGGAGGATATGGAAATTTTTCCTGGTCAAGAGCTACTGAATTGGGATCTACTGGTTTTTTTTGTTTTTGTTTTTGTTTTTTGTTTGCAGTCATTAAAGGACTAAAACAACTTAAATAGGCGACAGAACTTAAATCTGTTTGTTGACATAATTTAATTCTGTTAGTATATATTCAATGGAATTTCCCGAATAAGTAACTGGCTATTGAAATGTTTGGATTTTTGATATTTGGGGAAAAGAAATTATATTAGAAAAATATTTTATTGGACCATCTCTCTGTCTTTCTCTTCCTATCTCGCTAAGTTGGGTCAGAAATGTAGAGTCCTGGGACCGGACCCTTACACCCCAGTCTTCATGCCAGAGGAAGGCCGAGTTCCAACTCCCCCAGCTTCTCAGCCAGACCCTCTGTCTCCTGCCATCTTCGCTCCAGTGCAGTGTACCACACCCATCTCCAAAACTAGGAGTCTTGTTGGAGGGTTCTGTTTTCTCTATACAGTTTCTTGACATCTGTTCCACAAAAGCAAAGCTCATGAATTGCCCGATCTAAGGCGTGGCTCCCTGCCTGCAACTTTTCCAGCTGCTCTGGGGCTGAGAATGGCTTTGGCAGCAGGAGAACAATAGGAGAACAGATGAGTCGAGACCCTGGGCTGGGAGGGCGAATTTGGCTGCTAACACCCCTCCCCCGCACTGTGCTCTACAGAGTTTGTAAAGCGGCTCAGATACTGTGAATACCTTGGGAAGTATTTCTGCCATGGGTGCCACACCGCTGCCGAGGCCTGCATCCCTGCCCGTATCCTCGCCTCATGGGACTTCAAGAAGTACTACGTCAGCAATTTCTCCAGGCGCCTCATAGACAGCATTTGGCACCAGCCCGTTTTCAATCTGCTGAGTGTGGGCCAGAGTCTGTCCGGGAAAGTCAGGGAGCTGGATCGCGTGAAGGTGAGCGACTTGCTTTTGCATTAGGGGCTCCCACGAGCTCTTGGAGGGGCGCCTTAAGAGCAAACCAATGGAGCTTGGGTTTCAGGCACCTTACCGGCTTGCATTCTCCTCCAAACCCCATACCAAATCCTGTACTTATGCCCACTTTTGCATTTATACCTAATTTTAATTTTTTATTATAATTATTTTGTCTGGGGTCACACCCAGCTGTGTTGAGGGTTGATTCCAGGCTCGTGCTCAGGGATAGCTCCTGGCAGGGCCTGAGGGATCATATGGGTTGATGAGGATTGAACTCAGGTCAGCCATGTGCAAGCAAAGCGCTCTGCCTGTTGTACTATCTCCTCAGCACCCCCTCCCCCAAATTATTGTGTTTTTTTTTTCTTTTTCGGTCACACCTGGAGATGCACAGGGGTTACTTCTGGCTCTGCACTCAGGAATCATCCCTGGCAGGGCTCAGGGGACCATATGGGATGCTGAGAATTGAACCTGGGTCGGCCGCATGCAAGGCAAACGCCCTACCTGCTGTGCTATTGCTCCAGCCCCTGTGTTTTTATTTTTTAAATAAGAATTGCACAGGTTTCAGGTGTTCATATGGTTTTATTATAAATGTTATCTGGCTAAGCTAATGGACATATCCATTTCCTCGTATACTTGCCCGAGTTGTGGTCAGAGCTCTTGAAATACACTCTTAGCAAATGTCCTGTGTGTAGCACAGTATGATGAGCCTGTAGCAGCATGTTGTAGCAGCATGTTTTCTTTCTCACCCATTCACCCTGCCACTTCATGGCTTTTGACCATGTCCCTGTGTCCCCCACCTCCTTGCCCTGGGGAGCCACAGATCAACTCTGTTTTTATCTGACATTTTTTATATCCTACATACAAGTGACACTATGAGGTGTTTTATTTTGTTTTCCTTTTCATGTCTAGCTAATTTCACTCGACATATTGTCATATTCATCTATATTGTCACAATTGGCAGGATCTCCTTGTATTTATCTATTTTTTCTTTATATATGTATATAACTGTATCACTGTCATCCCATTGTTCATCGATTTGCTTGAGTGGGTGTCAGTAACATCTCCATTCGTCCCTGTCACATGCTAGTGTAGCCCGATGGCATATTGGGGGCTCTTTCAGGGTCAGGGGAATGAGACCCTTTATTGTTACTGTTTTTTGGCATATCAAGCACATCACGGGTAGCTTGCCGGGCTCTGCCATATATATACATGTATACATGTATATATATTTATATATATGGCAGAGTTTTAATGTTGTGTAGGCTTCAGGCCTCATAAAACCTGGATCTCTGCTGGGCCCCTCTGAGATCTCAATTCAGTCATGACCTCCTGCTCTGTGGACCTTCCATTAAAGGCTTGTGTCATGGAAGTGTAGCATTCGAGGTTAGAAGTAACATTTAATGTTGACTCATGCATTTCCAATGTCATCGATCCCATTTTAACTCCCACCCATCCCCCTTGGTTCTTCATCTTAGGAAGTCCAGGAGCAACTTTTCCATATCAAGAAGCTGTTGAAGACCTGCAGGTTTGCTGAAAGGTAGCCCTGCTGGCGGGGTCCCTGAGTTGGGAGAGATGGGGACCTGGATGCTCCTGCTGGCTTGGGAACTCCTGGTCTCAGGCCCTGCTGTCCCCAGGGACACTCCACATAGTGATCCTCTTGTGTCGTTCCCTTGGGGAGGTAGACGCTCTCTTTAAAGTGACTGAAACCTCTCAGCTGCAGAGAGCTTGAAGAGCTGAGCACAGGCTTTGCATGCTGAAGTTCAACTTCTATCCCTCAATTGCAAGGTTCCCCAAAAGCACTGTCACAGTAACCCCCCCCCCCCCAACACAGGGCTGGGAGTTGAAAAAAAAGTACTTAAAAAACAAATAGATAAACAGAGTGTAAGATAATTACTAAGCCTTCTAATTCACTAGCACTGAATCGACTTAAGCAGATGAGCCAATACAAGGATGGCACAAGATTAGCAGATGACCTTGGTTTTTCTTACTATTGTTACTTAAAATTGTGGAAAACAGCACAGGACATAAAGTCTATCACCTTAACTATGTTTAAGTGTAATGTTTGTGGCATTAAGTATATTCACATGACTGTTATATTAGGACTACCAGACATCCTTCGAACTTATCTTAAAAAACTGAAATTCTATTACTTAAGCAATAACTTCCCACTCCCTCTCTCTGTCAGCCCCTACCAACAACTTTTCTTTCTGTCTATGAATTGGCTAAACTTGGGATCTTATATAAGTGGAATCAGGCCGCATTTTTCTTTATGTGGCTGGCCTGTTTCGCTTATGATAATGGCTTCCAGTTTCATCCATGTAGTAGCATGTATCAGAATTTCTTTCCCTTTGGAGGGCTCAGTAATTTCCTATAATATGCCTAGACTATATTTCTATTATCCTTCCTGAGTTTCTTTTGCCATTTAGTTATTAATATAGTAACAGTGATCATGGCTCTTTCAAACTCCAGTCAGAGAGACCTGCTGAACTTTTTTCACTGTATAGCATTCCACATAAAGATGGGGTATTTATTAAAGTATTTTGCAATAACTGAGCACATGTTACTAAAGCATTTGTTACAAATAAACAAATAAATTGAGCTCTACCTTTAACTCTGCACACATTCTTAGGTGTATCCTCAGGGATAAACTTCTAGAAGTGGAATTTATGGAATCTGTGGCCACAAAGGATAAGCACAAATTCATCTACAGAGATGGACTTGCTAGTGTGTTAAGGAAAACCACTAACAGAAAGATCACACTTTATTTTTATGCCTTTTGACTTTTTCCAGCTTTATTAAGATATAGTGGCACATAATGAGTGTATAATATAAGCTTAAGACATATGCATAGCGCTTTGACTCACATTTATCTTAAAATGATGATCATAATAAATTTCGAGAACACCTGTCATCTCATAAATATGAGCCAAGATACTTCTGATTATTGGGGGAGGGGATATTTGGCTCACCTGATAGTTCTCTGGGGATACTTGACTTTGCTTTTGTGGGCCACTCCTTGTAATGCTCAGGGGACCCTCTGGTGATGGGGATCAAATCTAGGCCTCCTGCATGCAAAACATATGTTTAGCCCATTGAGCTGTATGTCCAGTCTAACCGCAGATTTGTAAGTAGAAAAAGTTAAGATGTGAATATGAAGATCTGTTATGAGGACTAAAGAGATAGTACAGGGTTAAAGTGCTTGCCATGCATGTTGTCTTGCCACCAACCCAGATTCTGTTCCTGTAACCATGTATGGTCCCCCGGCACTGCCAGAGCTCACTACTGAGCACAGAGCCAGAAATAGCCCCTGAGCACTTCCAAGAATGGCTCACTTGGCACCCCATATGCAATATTGCTTATTACTATTATAGAAAGAATTATAAGGTTTTTAAAAACTCATTTTGTTTGAGGAAATACCCAGGGTTCCTGAAGACTAAGTCAGGGCTCTAAGACCAGTTCAAAGGAGGGTCAGGATCCTCTGGCTGGGGAAACATTGGAAGCAGGTGCCCTGATCCAGCCAGGAATGAGATAGGTTGACATCACTAGAGTGTCAAAAGCAGTGTATGAGCATCAGTTCAGGGGAATTTCAGGAATCTGGGTGGAGATGGGGAGGTGCAGGGAATGTCATGGTCTGTTTTCAATGAACTTTGAACATCTATCTGCACCTGTACATGCAGTTGGTTGCCTGAGTCTAGTTTAGGGCTGGGCTCAGGGATCTGGGGACAGGAGCCTGCTCGTCAGCTGTGATTATCCTGCCAGAAAGAGGTGCGCAACCATTATGTGATGCTTTGGGGCCAAGGATGTAGAAACTCTTAAAATATAATAGCGCGTAGGATTACTGAAAAAACAGGGTGCAGTTATTACCTGGTAAAAGATGGTCACTGGAATGTATAAGGGAGAAATTGTCATTTCAGGGTATGTTTTCATAAACACAATTCTCTCGCCCCTGAAGGAGTTGCAAATGGCTGATTTCCCAAGCAAAACTGCCCCGCAACATGTAAAGTAGGGAATAAAGTTAGCTAGCTTGCCATTTGAGCTTATGTTTTGAAAATATAAGTGAATGGAAAAGTTAAAGGAGTGCCCCGGAGGAAAGTGAATGCCCACTCCTCACCCCAGCTCAGCTGTCCTGCCCATCTCCCCAGGGTGGTCCGGACTAGCCTCTGCTTCCTCTCCACAGTACATTTCAGGCATTCAAGCAGGTGCCCAGCCACCTGACAGATGAGTGCCACCTTTTCTCACTGGATGACCTGGTCAGGATCAAGAAGGGGCTGCTGGTGTCCACACTCAAGGATCTTCTAAAGACTTCCCTTGCCCATGTGGCCAGATGCGAGGTAAGGCTTGGGGGAAGGGGGAAGGGTGCCCCTGAGCTGTCCCTTAGGGCCAGGCCCTGGGCTGGATGTTCTGCAGGTAAAATCCCTAACCTCATGACCCCTAAGGGAAGTACTCACAGCACTATTGACAAATAAGAAAATCAAACTTCAAAGCTAACTCTCAGGCCAAGGGCATCCTGGGCCAAGGAGCTTTTATTTTTTTTGACTCCTCTCTGCTCTGATGTGCCAAACACAATAGCCTCATGACTCCGGATCTAAGGGAACAGGAGCTCCAGTCTGTGTGGACTGAAGGGTGGAAGCGTTGCCATCAGCAGCAGAATTAAGTCATTTAAAAACATGTGTTTGCAATAATCATCTTTCTCTGATGTCTCAGCCTACATTAATGTGGAATTTCTCCATGCAGAATGAAGGCATATGTATTTCCCTGATCATTTTCCCAGATTACAACATCTGTTCCTTCCAGAAATTAGAAATGTTTAAAAAGTTGGTGCATGTAGGGACTGGAGAGATAGTAAGGGGTTTAAGGTGCTGGCCCTGCACATGGCCAACCTGGGTTGATGGTTTCCTGAAGCATGACTGGCTGAGCCTGAGGCCAGGAGTAATCCCTGAGCACCACTGGATGTGACACTGATGACAGTAACAAAAATTGATTGTTTTCATTATTTTTATCTTGGAGCCATACCCAGCAGTACTCAGGGCTTAACTCCTGGCTCTGCACTCTGCTATTACTCCTGAAATCTTGGGAGATCATATGGGGTTCTGGGATTAATGCCCCCCCCCCCCCCCCCCCAGTGCAGCTGCATGCAAGAAAAGTGCCTTACCCATGGAACTGTCTATCCAGACCTCCAAATTGTTGCTTCTAAAGTGCAATGAGGGGCTGGAGCCATTGCACAGCGGGTAGGGCATTTGCCTTGCACGCGGCTGACCCGAGTTTGATTCCCAGCATCCCATATGGTCCCCCAAGCACCGCCAGGAGTAATTCCTGACTGCATGAGCCAGGAGTAACCCCTGTGCATCACTGGGTGTGACCCAAAAAGCAAAAAATAAAATAAAATAAAATAAAGTGCAATGAAAGTAGTAACCCAGTTTCTTCATCAAAAGAGGATTTTGATATTTACCACATTCTCTTACAGCTATGTCAAGGAAAGGGCTTCATCTGTGAATTTTGCCAGAATCCTGATGTTATTTTCCCATTTCAGACTGCAACATGCAGAAGATGTTCAGGTATCATTATGACTTCATCACTTAAGCTTGATAGAGTCATTGGTTAAAAACAAAATTCACTTCAGTCCAATAGTAACTTAATACCTTCAGTACAAGAGGCCTTATAAAGTGCTGCTGCTGTGTGCTTGTATGTTGGTTTGGAGGAATTCAAGTTTGGGGAACACAAGAAGGAGAGTTTGGGCGGCCTCTGTGTGCCTCTGTCCCAGTTTTTTGTTTGTTTGTTTGTTTGTTTGTTTGTTTTTCTGTGCTCCAGGGCAGGCTTCCAGCCACTCCTATTTTGGGATTGGTTCACAGTCCTGCCATTCTGAAATTTTGTCTCTGGCATCTTTGATAAGGCCGTGGCAGGTGAGTGCAGTGATGGAGACTGTGGTCCATAAGGCCCAAAGCATTTGCATCAACATCTGACTAGATATTCACACCCTTCACAGAAAAGTTTGGCAGACCCTTGTTCCACTTGCCATTGGTGCCCAAGGAAGCCCTGTGCAGGCAACAATGTTTCATGGGGGAGAACTGGGTTGTGAACCTGCTTCACCCTTGGTCTTCATCTGTCACTCACTAATGGGAGACCAGGAGTGCAGTTTCCCAGGGTGTTTTTATACCCGTGGAAGCAGCAGGATTGGGCAGAGAAAGTTGAACCCTGGTCTGGCTGCAGCAAAGGCTCATTGCTGCTCCTGGCAGTCATTGAGTTGGGAGAACCCTGGACCTTGTCTTATACTAGGACCAGGGAGCTGGTCACTGAATGGGAACCAGAGCCAGCAAGGGCTCAAGACAGCTCTCTCCACTCTGAGCCTTTTTTTTTTAAATTTTAAAAATTTCTTTTTCTTTTTGGGTCACACCTGGCGATGCACAGGGGTTACTCCTGGCTCTGCACTCAGGAGTTACTCCTGGCGGTGCTCAGGGGACCATATGGGATGCTGGGAATCGAACCCGGGTTGGCTGCATGCAAGGCAAACACCCTACCCGCTGTGCTATCTCTTCAGCCTCCGAGCCATTTTTAGAGCTGGGACCTGCAGGCTCCTACAGAGTCTGCAGTCAGGAGCCCTGTCTTGGAGCGGGTCTAGAGAGGATGCAGCATCCATGGTATAGGTGCTCTGCTGCTTCTCACCTTTTGGAAACTTACTGATCTCACTGAGCTTTAGAGAGAGAGAGAGAGAGACAGACAGACAGAGACAGAGACAGAGACAGAGACAGAGACAGAGAAAGAGACAGACTCTAGCTTTCAGACTTAGCTCACCTTTCTTCCTGAACTGGGGGTGAGTGTGGGAGGAAGCAAGATGCCCTCTTGGTCTGATGGCTGTCTCCTTGCTTGCAGCGTGCAGAGCCTGCTTTCACAAACAATGCTTCCGGGGCACCCAGTGCCCCCGATGTCTAAGGAACACAGTCCGGAGGAGACATCTGGAAAATGTGCCCACTACAGCCACGTGATGCCCCTCTGGGTTGTGAGGAAGCTGGACAATGGCAATGTTTCTATGATTAATTGCATGTTTCCAATAGCAAGTATTGGACAATAAGAAGAGTTCTTTTCTGTATATCATGAATGTTTTGGGGAACACAGTTTCCTCGTTACTGTTTACAAATGTTCCATGTTTTTTGCTGCTACTGTGATTTGGTTTCCTACATGGACCCCAGATCCAATGGGATAGCCAAGATCTTCTCAGTGCATTCAGGCACTGGGGATTCAGTTTGGAACTCACACTTGTCGTGAGAACTTTTTAAGGATTGAATCATCTTCCAGGCAGGCTCAGGTGCTGTGTCCTGGGGGATCCCTAAGAGCAGAGCTACACAGTCATCTCAGTGCACAGGGGTTGACCTCAGAGACTTGCTCTTGCCCGGAAAGTGCTTTCAGCCACGGAGCCATCTTCTGGGCCCTCTCTGCGGGGATCATAAGTAGTTGGACTGTTCTGATCACTTCCGTGCACAGGGTATCATCAGAGTTTGAATTCACAACTGTCCACTTGCCTCGGAGCATCTTCCAGGCCTCATTGCTACTGTTTTTTTTTAATGGGGTGGGTAGTGGGGAGGGTTTGGGGCCACACCCAGCAGTGCTCAGGGCATGCTCTTTGCTCTGTGCTCAGAACTGACCTTTAGCAGTGCTCAGGGGACCATATGTAGTCCTCTGGAACTCAAACTGGGGTCAGCAGGATACAAGTGTCTTAGCCCCTATATTATCAACCTAACCCCTTGTACTGTTTTCCAAAAAGGATTTTTTGTATTTAAAAATTGTATTTAGCTGATGTTGCAGCCTGTTTTTAATGAATTGTAACTGACAAAATAAAAAAGTTACCCAGCTTCTTTTCTTGTAAAGATTGTTTTATGAGACAGGTTAGTACTTAACTGAAATAAAACACATCCAAGAAGTTTCCCTGAGCTTTTATCTTGATTTCAATGCCATTTTGTAGTTATATCAGCCTTTCAGATTTTACTTGTTCCAGGGAACGCACATTATTTTTGCAGTTATGTCTGCTTCAAGAGGAGTTTGAATTGCTCAGCAGTGTGCAAAGGCGCCATTTGAAGTAGTGGCCTGTAGGAGGCGCTCTCTCAGGAGCCATAATTGACCTCTATTGGTCAATTTTAGCAAAGTCAGCAAATGCATCTGCGAATCAAACTTCATCCCTGCACTTTAGAATTTTATCTCATAGACCAAAAACTGAATATAAGGCATTTTCAGACTTCAGTAAACTGTAGGGAAACACACAATGGACAGTGCAAGTCTGGTTGTAGCATGAATATCTTAAAGACATCAGTTAATGAGGTTAAGGAATACTTGACTTTTCAATGATTTTTTCCCTAATAGTCATTATCAGAAGGGCCTGTGCCACACTTAGCAGTCCTCAGGGTTTATTCCTGGCTCTGTGCTCAAGGGAGTGTGTGTGATGCAAGAAGAATAAGTGCTGGGCTAGAGCAATAGCACAGCCAGTAGGGCGTTTGCCTTTCACACAGCAGACCCAGGTTCGATTCCCAGCATCCCATATGGTCCCCTAAGCACAACCAGGAATAATTCCTCAGTGCATGAGCCAGGGGTAACCCCTGTGCATCACCAGGTGTCACCCAAAAAGCAAAAAAAAAAAAAAGAATAAAGCCTTAATCCCTTTCCTTTCTCAGGCCTATATTCCTTATTTATATATACAATTTTCAAATGTGAGCTCATTATTTTCTGCTACCTCCCATACTACTTGAGAAAGGGACCCTGGTGCTGGGTTTCTTCCTGGAACCATTTTGGTCTGGACCATGGGTGTTAGACCCTCCAGAATAAACATGCCCGAATGAAACCCACTGTGGACGAACTTCCCAAACAGCAGGCAGCAGCATGGTGCAGGTCACCCTGAGCGCCATCTCATCCCATGCGTGATTGTGACTTTCTGTTTCTTCTGTGGGATAACTTTAAGTGCATGAAAGAAATTAGAGTTTCTTAGAATCTGCTTCATTTCCTATCAATTTCATGTCAATTTTTTTTCCCGTCCCCAAAGTGTCCTCCAGAGCTGTACTTAACATTTTAGTAGTTTAAGCCGGCACTCTTCTAGACAGAAATTCATGCATATGGGGCAAGATAGATAAAACGAAATTGAAAACAGTGCTGTGGGCCAGGGATGTGGTTTGATGGTGGAACTGATACTTCACATGTATGAAGGCCTGGGTTTGATCTCCAAGACCACACACACAATTGTTTAAAGCTCTTTCCCAATACCCTGTTAGGAAACAAGGATCCGGGTGGTATTTTAGAGCAGCTTGGTAAGGTCTCATTGAGGGGGGAAAATTAACTCACCTGGATTCCCACAGAGATCATGGTAGAACTGGGGCTGTCACTTGAGTCTGTCTACCTGCTTCTAAAGCCATGTTCCACCCCTGCTTCTTCTGTTGTCTCCTTCTGAGACAGTCTGACCCAAACCATGGTAACTCTCAAGAGGCCTGTAGAGCTAGTCAGACTTTCGTTAGTGACCTTGTGCCTCATGTTTCTCGAATCCTTGCACGGGTGGATGGCAGGAAGTTACCAGGGTTTCTGTACTGCACTAAGTGCCCTGTCTCTAGGGTGGCCATGTTGGAAGGACCTGGATGAGTGTGAGTGTGAGACACGTCTTTGCTGTCAAGGGAGGCTGCTCAACTGCCTCAAGAAGTGACATTTTCAAATTTTGCAGAATGGGGGAAAATAAACCAATTTATTTTTTTTGTCTTTTGGATCACACCCTGTGGTGCTCAGGGCTTACTCCTGGCTTTCTGCCCAGCTATCATTCCTGATGGGGCTCAGGTCATCAAATGGGGTGCCAGAGATTGAACTTGGGTTGACTGTATGCAAGACTATATCTTGTAGTTCCAAGAATGAATAAAAAACAGACCAACCGACTCTCTGTGCATTTCACTGAGACTTGGTGAAAGTGGAAACTCCTTCCCAGAAGGGACCAGTTAAAACAGAGTAGGCCTGAGAAACTGGGGAAGCTTTCAGGAAGTCTTTCCTTTTTGCAACACATACTTCTCTCTAAAGGGATTGCCCTCTGTATGGTTTCTCTGTTGAACTCCTCTTAGGCTACCAGGAGGAAGATGAAAGCTTGCTCTTCCTAGCTAGACCTGTACGCACCGTGAGTCACTCGGGGGCAGAGCTGTGGGCTCGACCATTCATTCTCTGCCTTTCTACACTTCTTGGGGACACTCCCATCACAAGTCCTTTCAGTCATGCTTAAGTCTCAGTTGCAGGTAATGGGTTGTTTTGGGGACACAACTCAAGAAGAGACGAGCCATCCACTTTGGTGAACTGACTTGAGAATGACTGACTTCTTTCCCAGATCTGCTATGATTTGATCTGCTCGCTCAACTCTGGGCCAACTACTTAAATTCTCTCAATGTCTTTATAAAATGAGTGGTAAGTTTGGAGAGACAGTACGGGGTTAATTCATTTGCCTTGCATGCAGCCAATTCTGATTTGAATCCTGGTACCACATGAGGTTTTCTGATCCCTACCAGGAGTGGTCCCTGATCACAGAACTAGGAGTTAGCCCAAAGCACTGCAGAGTGTTGCTGAAAAGTGGGGGGAAAAAAGCGGGTGGAAGGGGGGAGTTGGGGTAGGATATTTAAGATGTATAGAGCACATGAAGATTAGACATAAAAATGGGGGCTAGAGAGATAGAACACTTGGTAGGGAGGGGCCCCATCCAGCAGTGCTTGAGGCTTACGCTTGACTCTTTGTTGAAAGGCTCACTCTTTCTGGTGCTCGGAGGACCATAGGCAGTGTCAGAGATTCAAAATGGGATCAGCCCACTTTATCAGCCCAGATTTGACCCCCATATGGTCTCCCAAGTACCACCAGGAGTAATTCCTGAGTGAAGAGCTAGGAATAACTCCTAAGCATCTAGGGATATAGCCACCAAACAGAAAGAAATAAAAATAAAGTATCCAGCAGAGAGACAGGCACAAACATGGCCTCAGTGCACAGTAATAATACAGTAATAATAATCAGGTCTACACAAATTTAAAAACCAGTTGGTTAGTATTAAATTGCCTAGTATTTGTATTTTGAGCATGCTGTTCTCTGAGTGTCAGTTTGCAGACTGTAAAGTGAGAATTTGGAAAATAACTACTGCTGTGGGTTGAATTATGCCCTAGACTCCTGATTCCTGTGACTGTGACCTTCTTTGGAAGTGGTTCTTTCCAGACAGAGTTAAGATGAGGTCAGACTAGATTAGGGTGGACCCTGGTCTGATGATTGTGTCCTTATAAGAAGAAGGAAATTTGGACATGAAAGTCTCTGGGAGAAGGCCACGTAAAGGAAGAGGCAGAGATTGGCATGAGGCATGTGCAAGCCAGGGATGCTAAAGATTGCCATCAGCTGTTAGAAGCCAAAAGTGAGGCCTGGAATAGATTCTCCTGAGAGCCTGCAAAGGGACCAGCCCCTTGGAGACTCTGGTCCTTGACCTCAAGTATTCAGAGCAGAGAGAGCCTGTTGTTTTACCCAGAGTCTGTGATGATTATTTACAGTGTCCCTGAGAGAGGAGTGTGCCTCCCACTGGCAGGATTTGGGAGAGTTATGGGGTGATCAGCACCACTGGAAGGACAAGCACTGTTCCTCAACCAACAGAAAAAGTGCTATCAAGCTTGTTTTGTTTCGGGGCTTGGGGCCCCATCCAGCAGTGCTCAGGCTTTGCTCTTAGCTCTTTGTTGAAGGCATCATTCATGCTGGTGCTTGCGAGACCATAAGCAGTGCCGGAGATTCAAACTAGGACCAGCCCATGTGCACGGCAAGTGCCTTAACCCCTGTATTATCTACCCAGCCCAGGTTGTTTTCTAACCCACAATGAGCAATTTTCTGGAACACCTGCTGGGTGCCCTATAATTTTCTCTTTCTTAAGGGTCTCACAGTTTAATTCAATTCTGGAGCTGTGTGCCTGCCGTTAGTGTCAGAACTCACAGGTGAAAGGCTCCATCCAATGGGACCACCACCACCCCACCCTGTCCCCTTAGGTCCCAATCACAAGCTGGACTCTCCAGGTGACCCATAGCCTCTGTGTGACTCTGCTTTCTTCCGGAGGTTCTGGGAACACCCTCCTCAGGTTTCTAATGGATGAAGTGGAGGAATATGCCTAAGAGGGTGGGAATGAGCACCACACTTCAAATAAAAATATTAAACCTGCCAACACAGGCTGCATGCTTACTCAGACCCCATGTATATCATCAGCATCCAATGATGTGATCAGGGGCTGTATACATTGATATGTATTTTGGTCTTAATGAGGAGAAACATGGACTGGGTCAGGGTTCTAGTCACAGAGCATAGCCTGTAGCTGACTGGAAATTATTTTCCAAAGACCTCTCTTTAGGGGTGGAGATATGGTTCAGTAAAGCATGTGCCTTGCACACATAAAACCTGGGTTTGAGGGGGTCAGAGAGATAGTACAGTGGCTAGGGCACTTGCCTTGCGTGCAGTCAATCAGAGTTTATCTTCAGCATCCCCCGACCACCACCAGTGACAGAAGTAACCCCTAAACACAGGCAGGTGT